ATTGAGTTACATTCAAGTTTACAATTCATAGTGAACTGTAATCCAAATCACATTTCCCATTAGCAGGGAACTAATAGAGTGAGGAGGCCACAGCGGAGACAGAGCATTGTGGAGGGGATGTCGGTTTCCCACTGTTTGTAACTTTATTGTACCATGTACAATGTATGATTCCATTTCTACCTTATAAATAGTACAACCCCACTTTAAATATAACGAGTTTTTTTTAAATGTTTATATTTCATGAAAGTGATGGGTCACGTTTCTATTCCAAATTAATTCCAAAATGGGTACAATTACGATAACTGAAACAAATGAACAATCATTTTGTGGTTGGACAAAAAAAAAAGATTGTGAAATGGTTGAAGTTACCTATTCATAATACAAGCCGGGGATGTGTGCCCGGTATAACGTATTCGCCACACATCAAGGAATAACATGTGGCGTTATTAGAAAGATATGTATTCTCACAATTCATTGTATACAACATCTGGTATTATATTCTCAATATCTCCAATGAAAAATGAACGTGAAAAAATGACAAACAATACCTGCGTCGAACACTCAAAACACTTATTTTCACTCAAAATACTACAACAGTGTAGTGTATAATAACAATGTCGGCTGTAACCATGGTAACCAAACATTGGTTTTCTCCCGGTCTTCCGAGATTTAACACCAGTGTGAAACATTTCGTTCAACCACGCAAGATTCCGTGGCAAGGTTTGAACAGCTGCCAGATGAGTTTTGTATTCTTTTGCGAATGGATCGATATCGATAAGTAGATCTGTTTTCAATAGGTTTGTACTCGTACGCCAGTGCATATGGCGTGGTTACCTGTAAAGTAGCTATACCCTTAACTGTGTCAAACTTTGATAAGTTAAACATACTACCGTGATCAAAGTAATAAGAAATGGTGATCATAGAGGGATATTGCTTCGTGAGATAACGTTGAACTAAGACTGTACACGATATTTAAGGGTCGCTAATACCATATTAACCCGCGCAGTTCCCCCCCCCAAAGGCACAGGCCTTTACAGTTTATTATTATCCTACATCGTGGAGAATTTGTCATGCATCATGTTGCTGCTATAGCAACAACGTTCAGGTCGTTTCTCGTAGCTCGTACGAGAAAATAACAAACATAACGATATATCAAGTTATTCAGAAACAAATCATTACAGACAGATATTTCATGCAAGTTGAATGCAGGGAGTTTTGTTGCTGTTGCGCAACTCGATATCTGATATAATTATGCTCCGCTTATACGTAAATTTGAAGCGCATTGCTACGTATCAAGTAACATGGCGTAATCGGGGGCCATGTGCTGCTTTGGTATTATCATTTCCGATACTGAACTGAGACAACACTAATAATGAGCAATATTTTAGCTATACTTACTCGGAATTGAGACTGCGAAAGGTCAAATAAGTGTAAATTATGCACAAATTAAAATGTTGTTGGATATATTTCTTCGTTGGCAAGAAATTTGACTCAGACGTTGGGTTAACTTTTTCGTCAGAAACGACATTTAATTTGTTTGTGGTTATATTTTGGCTAGGCAATTTTGTACAAACTTGACAGGTACTACCTACACCTGCAGATAGGTGGAAACATTTGAAAAAAATCTTATTCTACCGTTGCCGTGACAACGTCCAAAAACCTGATTATGTAGACGTGACTTTGGACAAAATAAATGTCAGATGTCAGTGCATACACTTGGTCAGTAATACACGTATATGCATTACACCAAATTTTCAAATGACAAGATATCTCAACATTTAGTTTAACAGGCGTTCAAATGTTCAAGTCTATAAAGCATTCAGCTTTACCTTGTCATGGAGTTCATTAAACGTTCAAGTCCATTAGGTGTTCATTGACAAGTCCATTAGGTGTTCAAGTCCATTAGGTGTTCAAGTCCATTAGGTGTTCAAGTCTAACAAACGAGTTCATTAAGTAATGTTCTGAAGACGTTCTAACTTTTTAACTTTTTCCGGAGATGTTTTTGCCCTTTTTAGGCTCGTCACACCTGCACTCTTGTTAAGTAACAAGATTTGTCAAAAAATCTGTCCTACATATGTCATGGCAAGGGCATAAAACAAATGTACGATGTACTCCAATCGAAAGCGAGGATGGTTAGATTAAAGCGCCACGGTACTACGCGGTGTGTCTTGTTTGATGTTTGAAAATGTGTTTGTTTGTTTGCAGGGAAAACACGGTGAGCAACGTTTTTAAAGTGTCAGATTAAATCCTGGCTGCAAAATTAATCAGTGAAAGCTTAGACAGAACTCCCGTGTGCTGTGAGTATTTGAGACACAATAAAAAATAATTCTAAATTACCTGTATCTGAGATATTGATGGAAAAGCTGAAAACTAATTATGCAAATCAGAAAATTAATATGAACAGATTTGAGTGTAAAACTAATAAGGTCTGTGCAATGTAACATACCATCTACATGTATGTACCAAGTTTCATTGAAATACGATTAGAAAAAAAATTATGAATTATTATGCTAATTGGAGAATTAACATGAACAGATTTTAACTTGAAACTAATTAGATTTGTACATTGTCCTAAAGAATCTTTGTAGCAAGTTACATTGAAATGAAATAATTAGTACTTTAGATATCAGTGTGAAAGCTTACAATTGGTTAATCATGCAAATTATGTAATTAATATGTACAGATTTCAACCCAAAGTTAATCAGGTCTGTCTATTCTACTAGAACATCTATGTACAAAGTTTCATTGAAATGTGAAGATTAGTGCTTGGGATATTAGTGTGAAAGTTGAAAATTGATTAATTATGCAAATTATGTGATTAATATGCATAAATATATACCAAAAACTAGTTGGGTCTCTGCATAATCCTAGATTCATTGAAATGTTATGATTAGTACTCGAGATATCAGTGGAAAAGCTTAAAATTCAATTAATATGCATGGATTTCTACCAAAACCTAATCAAATCTGCGCATTGGCCCAGAACATATATGCACCAACTTTCATCAAAAGACAATGTATGGTTCTTGAGATATCAGTGGAACGGATAGATATACTCACACACACACACATACAGACACACTAACTGCAAAGACTTCTATTGTGTGCTTCGCCCACGGGAGTCAAACATGACCCATTTCAGTCTTTTCAGCCAGAAAATCAGCCCCTTTTAGACTTGCGCTGAGTGAGTGTTTTTTTTTTAAATCCCCACTTATCAGTTTTCACAGACATGAGATTTTTTAACGAAATATCTTTGCCCCTCGAAATTTAGAACGCCCATGCGCATCTCCTAACTAGCTATGTGCCCTACTCAGAACAGCTATGTCAACATATTCCGTAGTTTTGAAGCATTTTGTAGATATAGAATGACTTCGTTCCGTTATCATTGAGAGTGCTGATGGGCCGCCGTGACGGTTGACATGCAATCTATTTCTCGAAAAGTTGATACAGCTAAGGCACAGATGTACAACACTGAGATAAGTCACGAAGCGACAGTTAGAGTCCATAAACAATTATGCAGCACCAGCTAAATTAAGTTGACACGACACGACGAATCAGATAAAAGTAATCCGGTATATGAGAACTTCGCTAATGAACTGTCAAAACTAAACGGATAACCAACGGTTTAAACTGCGAAATAAAAAACAAATAAAGAAAGAATTGAATCAATCAGGATAATTAGATACCTCCCGGTGGAAATTAGTGACACGTTCGTAAACAAGCAAAATAAACGAGGCAAGCTTCACATCGTGCAATTTATATGCCAATATTGGGGTATAATTTAAGATGTATTAAGTATTGTGGTGTTTAATGAAGCACTTAATTTAATCTAACATACATATATATGGTCACGTGACAATACGTCAATTGTGGTTTGGATGGTACTCAGAAATCTATTTGCAGATTAATTCTCTCATGACAATTGCAAACAGTATGCGTTGATGAGTGACACAGTTTATTCCCCGTGAATATCATATATGTTAGCATGACAGAAAATAATTTGTCAAGACGCCTCAATTAAGAGCGAGAAGTGCAAACCGCGAGAGTGGACTCATTTGATGGGATGATGAGATAATATCGCGTCCGCGTCATTGCAGTTCACCCAACAAACCGTTTATATATAGTGGTTCACTGAAAGTAGTTGTTTCAACACCGTGTACATTGACAAGGTTGACTGAAAGGTGTCAGCTTCATCTGATCCTAGTCTTAACAAGATAAAATTCCCGAGAATTGAAAGCTATCCCCATGTGTGTTTAAATCTCTGTATTTCAAGACGAAACATAACCTCGAATTTCAATAATAAAGAGAGCGATCAATGGTCTAGGTGAAGTAGTTTAAAGCTTCGGTCGCACTGATCATGTTAAGCGTACCACTTTTAAAGAAAGCGCTGAAATGACTGTCCTTTAGAAACACGGTCCGTATAACTTGGATAATCAGGCAAATATATCAGTGCGACTTGTTATAAATGTCACATATATGTGTTTTTAGTCGTGTAGGAGTTTGAATTATGTCGAAAAGGCATTTTTTTCGAAAGATACATTTGAATATGAGCTTTGATTTCTGCTTAATTACTTCGTGGGATCATGGCGAATATACCACAAACTTTGCACGAAAGCAGTATGGTGCTCGTATCGACCGGAAAGAGTGTTAAAAAAAGAGTATATAGCACCGACGTTGATTGACCTGTCTGTTCGCGTGTTAGTAAATAAATTATCACTTAAACTGGGAAAATCGCAGTCACAATGTCTTTGGACAACCGTGTGCGTCTAGATTCAGTTCAGATTGCCTTTGTGCTTAGCTAAAACGCTGTATATTATACAAATAATGACACAAGTGCCGAGATCAACATTCTCATTTGCCTGCACTGGTAGCTACTGCATTAATTTAAAACAATCCACAATCCAGTTGAATCTATCAATGTACCACTGTATCAAATCATATGAAAGTCTACAATATGACTATTATTTTACTCATTTGCTCTTAAATAGATAGCTGTCGACTATGTATATACTGGTACTATATATGGACAACATCGGACCTGCAGTGGACAACATCGGGCCTGCAGTGGACAACATCGGGCCTGCAGTGAACAACATCGGACCTGCAGTGGACAACATCGGGCCTGCAGTGGACAACATCGGGCCTGCAGTGGACAACATCGGGCCTGCAGTGGACAACATTAGGCCTGCAGTGGACAACATCGGGCCTGCAGTGGACAACATCGGTGTTTTGGCCAGCGCGTTGCTTTAGATCGTCTGTCTTTAGACGACAGCGACATATAAAACATTTACATGTGTGGTAAGGAATATTTTTGAAGACGGGTAAGTCAATAACTCCAAATAATCCCATTCGAGGCATTATACATTTTTCATGAATCAGCGGTCGGCAGTGGACATGAGGTGTAATAATGTGTTTATATTGCCTTCAGTGAACTTAATAATGTGTCGCACAGCATCTCGCAAGATTTAATCATATACGTCATCCCACGTAACATCGTGCATTTTGAGAATTGAAGAGAGTGAAACTATCTCACGTGGATAAATAGCATTAATTACCACGAATAAATTAAAAGTCGAATTCCGAGGTGAAAAGTTGAAACTAACGAGAGGAAACTGCGCAGCTATACGCAGGTATGTTTGCGTGATGACGCAGTACAAAAAAAAAAAAAAAAACATGCCACAAGGTTTCACAGTACTGAATACAAATGATGTTATTAACTTTAGGTTGTTCAGCACCGTGGGGGTTTACTGACACGTCGTGTCGTTAAAGATTTAAACACGCCATACTTGATATCAATACATCGGTAAGGTAGCTGAGACTCGATCGGTGCAAAATATCATACATTCCCCTGCAACAATCACATGTACAAGTCTCCACATAACCACCATCGTGAAATATTAATCATCACAGATACACATATTTTACGAGCACGGGAAAGTGGGGTATTTTCATCGGAAAGATTGTGTAAAGCGAGAAAATGCAGATGAGTTTTTAAGAAGTGTTATTTTGATTTAAAACACAGTCACGCAAAACGCACATCTCGGTTATTTAAATATAGTAGGAGAGAGTTTTAAAGTGCTTAGAAATAGAGATCTATTATACACGTGTGAAGTGCATCTAGTGCTGTCTGTTAATGCAGTCGTTACAAAGTTCTCGAAAGGATCTAACAACAACAAATATGCATACAACCTGGTGCCAGGTGATAGCTAATGGATTTTCTATCCGCTGACAATTACTTTATCTTTCGTTTTATGTTTGTTGTATCGGTTTTCAGAAATCGGCAAAGGCTGTTGCAATATTCCACAAATAATCTTACTAAGGCTCTATACTCCATTAAAGCCTCTGACCGTGACGGTGACTAAATAACGTGTCCGCCATTTCAGAACCATTGTATATTCTTCTACATAGTTCATTTCATCTTTTCGAGTAATCACAGCTCATGGTGTATTTCTCAGTATGTCAATAGTTTCGTTTGAGTAGAAAATAGTAAAATATTACCAGTTTATTTGAAGTTGTTTATTATGTTCCAGGTAATGCCGCTACGTCATAATATAATGGAAAGTGTACACTATATAATGCAATTACGTCATTATAAAAGAAACTTCCCCGTTATATAATGAAGCTACGTCGTAATATAACGAGAACTCGTCACTACATGATGAAGTTACGCCATATTATCATGAATATTGTTAATGAATAAGTACACTGTATAATGCAATTACGTCACAATATAATGAAGTTTCACCATAATATAATTAAAACTCATTATAACAAAATGGTGTTAGTCTATAATTCAATGAATATTTGCCATTGTATAATGAATTTACGTCATAATAAATGAATAATGTACATAATATAAAGGATACTACCACATAAGGCTCTTCCATACAAGTGTGCTACGATGCGTCTATTTTATAACAACTTCCTATTAACAATAAAGTCCCACGAGGATTACGGGGAAAGTTTTAATATATATTCTAGAATGAATCCTATATTCAGATGACACAGCATATATTGAAGTTATCAATGTTATTGTGAAGTTAACACTGTCATTGGTGTATAAATTGAGCTAATGGAGGTATGTCCACTGGGACTAGTTATATGCGTGTCCATGAGATACGGACAGATTAAATGCAATACAGAAAATAATAGGAGTGTAAACTTCTACGATCTTCATGGATTTAGAGTAATTACTGATTGTTAAATCCAAGTTCACGGATCACATCCTACAGCGCCGTGCAGCTTCGGTTTCAAGGTTTCAACATAAAGATGATTACTCAGTTCACTTCTCCTGAGACTAAAGCTAAGCGTCAGCCCCGCTGTCAACGTAATTGAATTTCCATTTCGCCTAAGGTATTCATTCGTATGAGACATTTAAAACAAGGCCACTTCGCAAGTTCACTTCGATACAATACATTTTGTCCAGTCTTGAACCCATATTTAAAGGTGAGCAATTATGAGGCATCAGACGCGTTATTTATACATCTCTCTTCTATCACAGTCCTTCTATAGAGTGAATGTGCTTCGATATATACCAAACCCGAGATAGCACCCAGATGAAGGTCAAGTTAACTTTCATGGCATATTTTATTAACATTATGTCATTGAGGATGATTAATTAGTGATGAAATATATAATAATATAATGATGTGTAAAATCTCTGCATAATCCGGAGAAGGAAAGCTTTACAGAATGTATAAAAAGATGTCGAACCCAGTCTCTTTTTTCGTAAATCGAGTTCTTTCTAACAGCGCCTCCAAGTGGTGGAATCAGTATACACCGTAGGTGGCGTAGTCTGTCATGGACAAATTCAGTCCGGCGATTATTTTGTTTACAATATAAATAAGCAAAAAAGTGAAGTAATTCTTAACTACGTCGTCATTTTTCACTTTCACTAATTTTCATTTATTTTTGGTAAAACAACAACAATTAATAAATGGAGGGCGGAAGGGGGAGAGTCTTTTCAAAAGTTTTAGTTTTCTCTAACAATAATAATAATAATAATAGAAAATATAAACAAATAAGAATAAACTTTTCTTTGATGCAATCAATTGTACTGTATATTGCTGAACGTCACAACTGCGAATGATGGTCACGTGACTTTATTTATATATTTTTCTAATAGTTTTCAAAAAAACAACAACAATAAAACCAGTTGCCTTCTTTAAAAATTGCTTTGAAAATCTATCATTCTACACCAAAAAATGGACACTAACAGTCAACACGAAGAAATAATAAGTAATAATATATTTTTCTGAGGAAAAAAGGGAAACATTTAAAATCTTAAATTATTGAGAATAGTTTCGAGTGTAAATGAAAAAATCAATGGAAGTCCTGAAGGTTTTGCGAATAGCGCATTGTGGTAAGGGGACTCAGGCGAGTGTGCAAATAACTGTAGAGGTACTAGTGTCGTACCCAAAGGAAATCACATTAGTTCATTACAGATAGTCCAGCTTTATTCATCTGAAGTGACGCCTCGCTGTTCCCTTCTCTTCTTAGCTCTTACAAAATCTTACAAACTCCCAAATAAACGGCATGACAGAGTAGTAAACATGCGTTCATTCATTGGCACGAACACGTGATTACAAAGGATGGAATTATATAGTAGCATGTCTTGTAATTAAAATGTAATTAAAGACAGTAAGTTTATTTGACATTACGAACTTTACTAATCTAAAATAAACTTAAATTTATAATGATAATGAAAATTATAACACAGGTGTACTCATTGTACTGGCTAAACTCCTAAAAAATAATATGCAAGCAACACCTCGCAATTTGAGTTCCCCTCATGTCAAGTTCTGGATGGACAATCGTTTCATTTATTTATTTACAAGACTTAAAACTTTTTAATAACAGCTATTGGAACTGCTTTATATATCACTTTCGTTAGTGGATATTTGCTTGTCTAGTGTGATTGAATTTTATTCTCCTTGATTTTAAGTTTCTTGGGGTGTTGATTAGTCATTTTCGGTTAAAGGTCGGTGGTCGTCGCGTCATGCGTGCTCGAGATATGGGTCTCATATAAACAAAGATGGCGACTTTGACTGTTGTGTACACCAACGAGTAGAAATTGAACAGTTATCAAGCTTTAATTAGGCTATTTGTTGGTGATTTTAATACATCAAATAAGTTGCCGGTAATTAGTGCAAGTGACACCCAAGTCAAAACTCGTACTCGTGATTTCATTAGAATTGGATTGTGGGAAAATTATTTATATCAACACAAATGTCGCAAAGGTCAATTGAATGTATTTCGGTCATGCTGTTTTCTTGTCCTTCAATTAAAGGGCGGG